AAATTTAAGGGCAAGGTATAATACCTTATAAAATAGTAAGAATAAAATAACATAAAAAATAATATATGGGAACTAAAGGCTTATATAGCTAAAACTATAGTACTTAAAAATTTTAAGAAAACTTATAAAAATAAATTACGTAAAGCAAAAAAACGTTAAATATAAATATTTATGTTTATAACCTACACGCACTTATAAAAAAAAAAAATATATTATTTTTACTAATTAGCGGCGCCCGCAGGGCCTTTTAATAAAAAAGAAAAAAAAAATAAAAAACATAAAATAAAATAAAAAATAATAAAAAACTTAAATAAGTAGCTAAGCCACGCGGCGCGCAGCACCTAATATATATAAAATAAGAACTAAGCTTATAAGGGCGCTAATACTAACACCTAGTATAAAAGTAACCTTAATAAAAATTCTTAAAAGTGCTAAAGCATAGTACACCCCGCACTAAAAATAATAAAAGTTTATAAAAAAATTAGTAATATAATATAATGTAAACTAAAATATATAAATATATATTTAATAGCTAAAATTATACTTATATAAAAAAAATTATAGTTACTAAAGTAGTGCTAGATAAAGGTTTAAAAACTAGGAAGAAAACCACTATAATAAATTAGTAAACTAAAACATAGTAATACTATAAAAAGGGAACTAACTTATATAATAAATTATTATTTTTATTAAAAGGGGTACTAACCTGCAAAACAAAGTTAAATATAAATATAATAATATTTATAGGATTAGCTACCTACGCATTATTAACTATAGTAGTTTACTTAATAATTACTTTAAATACTTAATAAGCTACTTTTAAAATAGCAAGGTCTTTGTAAGCTCGCGGATTATTAGCTTTTATATATATAATATTAATAATATTAAAAATATTTTATAGCTAGTTACCCACTAGGGCAATATTAATAGCTATATACTTTAAAAGCGCCCTTTTTATATTATAATAAAACTAGCACTTCCCACCCCCCTGGTTATAAATAAAGGCTTTTATTATAATATTTATAGTAAATATATTTTTATTTTAGCGCCTTATAGTAATAATATATATAATATATTATAAAATATAAAAATTAAGTAGCAAAGCTATAAAGCCCGGGGGCAGTAAGAAAAAAATATTAATAAAAGCCCTATTAATAGGGGCGGTAAAAATAATAACAGGGGTAGTAATGGTGGTAGTAGTGGTAGGGGCATGTAAGTATTAAAATTAAGTTATTTTAATAGCCAGCATGTTAATAGTTATTAATATACAAGTAAAAAGCAGGGGAATATAATTTTATATATTAAAGGTAAAATAAAAAATAAAGGCTAAAACCAAGGCTTAACTACTATAATAAAAAAATATAAAATAAAATACTATAATAAAATAAATAATTATTAATAATAGTATTTAAAGCGTGATATAAAACTATATTAAATATTAAAGTAAAAAAAATATAAAGCAAAGGGCAAGCGTGGGAGGCTTTAAAAAAAAAATAGGGTTAAAAACACGCGGTATAATAAAGGCTATAATAAAGGTAAACTATGTTTAATTTAATTACTAAAAATAGTTTTAAAAATATAAAAATAATAAAAGCTAAATATAAAAAGCTTATTAGCTAAATTAAAAAAGCAAGTGCGTAGTAGAACATAAAAAAAAAATAAATAAAAGGCTAATATAATAATATATTAATAGCTAAAATAAAATAACCACATATTATAAATAGCTGCTAAAAGTATTAAAAAAAGTGTAAAAATAAGGAGATTTAGCTATCCAAAGCTTAAAGCTTTATTATAAAAACTAAGCATAAAATAAAATAAAATATGCAGGCCTAATAATATTAACACAGGACTAATATTATTAAAATAAATAATATAATATTTAAAAAGCATGGGAAAAAATAAATATAGGGTATTTTAACCCTAGGAATGCAATTAAATAATTAAAAAGTAATAAAAACATAATAAAAAGGTGTATACTCACGGCAGGTATTTTTAATTAAGTTATAAAAAAAACTTGGAAAAAAAAAAAAGAAAGATTGCAAAGGCGCTTTAATATTAAAATTAAAATATTACGCCCAGCTACTGCAGGCAGTAATACTATATTTAAATTTAAAAGTAAAGTAAGGTAATTAAATTAATTTTTTACACCTAACTTTAAACATAAATTGCACGCGAATTATAATACTTTATAAACCTAAAAATTACTTATTTTATAATACTTAATAAAATTTATAATTTAAACCGCGTTTTATAAAATATAAATATAAATTTATAAATTATAAGGGCGCGATTACTTAAAAAAAAAGTATTATTATTATTATTATAGTATTATAACTATATAATATTATAATAATATAATCTAGCGGCCTAAGGCCATTAGGCAAAAAAACTTTAATACTAAACTAGCCGCATGCTAAGGCGGCGGCCAGTTATATAATATATAAAATACTAAGTTTAACTCCAAACTCTAACTTAGAAGAATCAGCAATTAGTTCCTACTATAAATACACAACGCCTTTCCTATTGCAGTAATTCACATTCTCCTAAGCTCACCACAGTATACAAACGCGACTCACAATATAACTAGGTAATTTATTATTTTATAAATAATTAATTTTTAATATATATTTAAAACTTTAATATTATTTACTATAAGCTAAAGTATATTTTAACTTTATATTAAATAGTACTATTTAACGCGCAGTATTTTTTTTTATAAATATAAGTAAGTATTTTAAGGCACTTTTTTAGCTAATTTTTATAATTATTTTAGGTATTTACTAGCGCGTAGTACTTATATACTAGGTAATTTTAAGTTTTTATACCTATAATAATTTAGGGTTTTTAAATATAAGTAATATTATAGCCTTACTTATAGGCTAGTTATAAGATTATAATATAACTAGGTATAAATTTACTTATATTTACTTAATAAATAATAAAATCCTGTTATTACTAAGTATTATTATAATAATAGTTATTATAATATTTTTTTAGTACTTTAGTATTAAAGCTTAAAGGGGGTTTTAGTATTAATTTTTATTACTTAAAATAAGAAAGGTGTGCCTGTATTAGCTAAAGTAAATTAAATTAATTTAATAAAAAGCTACCTAAGGTTTTAGTTATTAATAAAAGTATTAAATTATAAAGTATAATAATTAATAATTATTATAAAATCTTATTTATTTACTTTTAGTTTTTCCGCGGCGCGCTTTTAAGAATTTTTTTAAAATAAAAACCACATGGTTTTTACCTAAAGTTAGGTATTAATATTAACCTAGGTGTACATGTTTTAGTACTAATAAATATTATAATAATATATATTATTAAGTTTTTTTTTAAATAAGTAAATTAAGGTTTTATTTTTATACCTAAGGGTTATTAAATAATTATTATATTTAGCTAGCCAGGGGCCCAGGTAGTTCGCGTAATATATAAAATTTTTATAATTTAAATTAATAAAACCTAAGTAATTTATAATTATTATATTATATTATATATAACATGCTATATAATTATAGCATGCTAGGTAATAATATTTTTAATAACTAGGGTTATATTAAAAAACTAGCTAGTACTTTTTAATAAGCTAGTAATACTTACTTTAGTTAAATAATATAAAAATTTTAGGCTATTTTAAAAAAGAAATTACCTAGGTAATACGTTTAGTATTAAAATTAAGCCTATATTTTAAAAAAGTAAGCTTAACTAGCTTTAATTTTATTTAAGCTATAACTTTATTTTAAATTAACTTAGTAATATTTATTTTATTATTATTATATACTAAAATAATGCTAGGTACTTCTTACACCATATAGTTATATTACTTTTAAAAAATATATATATTAATAGCGCCTAGGGTATAATAAATTATATTAATTACTTTTTTAGTTACTAAAAAATCCCTAGTAAAAAAATTATTAGGGATAATAGCTTAACCTATATAAGTTATATTAATTTTAAAAATAGCTATAATTATAATTAATTTTAGTATATACTTAATAAGGGCTTGCTAAATAATATATACCTTAAGGTATATTATTAGCTTATTATTAAAAAAAGTAATTAATATTTTATAATTATTTTATATAATTAAGGCTATAGTAAAGCTATTATATATTAATTAAGTTATTAAGGTGCTTAATAAAGGCACCTTGCCTAAAATAATATTAATTAAAATAAAAAAACTTACTTTAAAAGGGGTAGGTTAAGCCCTTAAATTTTTAAGGGTTAAACTTATTTTCCCCTAGGTAATAATTTTATTAAAAGTTATTATAATAGCAGGCTAACTATATATATATAAAAAAATATAATTAATATTATTAATATTAGTATAGCCTTTTAAAAAAATAAAATATATAAATTTACTATAAATATTATAAGTAAAAACTTTTTAATTTTAAGTTTTTTACCTAGCTATAAAGCTATTAATAATAATTATAAAATTTATAAAAACTTTATATTTAATATATACTTAATATTTTTATTTATTAAGTTAATTATAAAAGGCCTTTATAACCAGGCTAGGTTAAAAAGTTAGTATACTATTATTTTTAATAATAAAAAAGGGAAAATAAGCTTATTAAAGCTTTTTTTTTTTTTATTTTTTTATAATATAAAGGTTAAAGGGGGATAAAAAATTTTATAACTAGGTAAAGTTAGCTAAATTAAGGCTTATAAGCTAGTTAGGGATACATGCCTTAATTTTAGCTATTATATTATAAAAAGTAATAAAAGGGGGAAAAAAAGGTTAAAAATAAAATTAAAATAATAAAAATATATATTTATAATAGTTTTAAAGTATTAGGAGCCCTTATTTAAAGGTACCCCTAGATTGCTAAGAGTTATAAAGGTGAGTTAACTTGTGTAAAGCATGAGGATAGCATGTCTCTGACTGGTGGTTGCAGAGTAGCCGACCCAGCCACCGAGGATATATAAGGCTGCCACTCCCCTCCCTCTTCTCCTTTTCTAGAACCATGCCGTCCTCCCTTTCTAGAACCATGCCGTCCATCCGATCCTGCAGCGCCTGTCTCGACCGGGGTACCCTCTGCGACGGGAACCCGCAAGGATGCCAGCCCTGCCTACGCGGCGGCTTTAGCTGCAGAAGAGACTACCGCGCCTGCCCGGCCATTCCTCAGCCAGACTGGGGCGAGACGCAGGCCACCGCCGAGCAAGTCGCAGGCATCCCCAGCGCAGAGATCACAACCGCCCACGCACCCCTGATCGCCGCCCTGACAGCCTTCTACAACGCCCTGATCCAACTGCAGTACCTGCGCGAACACGAGCTCGTCCGCCCGCCACACGTCTCCGAACACATCGATCTCGATGCATTGGTGGAGTCTGGCTTCGAAGCCCAAGCCATCGCGCTCATTTTGGCTTTGCCCCAGGTTAATATCCCCCGGATTGCCGACGCCGAGATCGACATCACGCCCGACGCCGCCCTCCCCTTCCCCTACCTCAACCTAGGCAGTCTCCGCACAGCGACGTACGCCAATACCGCGCGCGACCCGTTCTATCACGGCCAGGGCCAGGACCAGGACGACAACGAAGAGCACGAGCACGAGCGCGAGAACTGGCGCATCCCGCCCTGGGCGCTCTTCATCACGCGCCCGGACCCCCAGCGCGGCTACGGCTTCACCCACTGCCGGATCTACGATATGCGGAGTCGCACGCTCGGTCTATGGTCGGACGCCATGGTTGGGCGTGCGGGAGACACTCGCCGCCACGGTCGCCTCCTCATCGACGCGCGTCCAGCGGACGAGGTCATTGGGGAATGGACTGCGTCCCTGCGCGCGCTGGCCTGGGTGCCCTCGCTCTCAGACCGCGAACGCACGATCCAAGCTGCGCCCGATCTCGAACGCGTGAATCGGGCTATTGCGCACGCGCAGACGATGCCGGAGGATTGGGGCGCTCCGATGATCCGCGACGAGAGGCGGAGGTATCATGCTTACTGGGCGCAGCGGGGGATCTACGAGGGGTGCGGGTGGCCTGATGCGTTGAGGGAGGAGGAGCTCGTGGGCAGGAGGGGGGAGTGGAATGCGGCGATTCGGCGGCTGGGGGCGGCGGAGGTTGATGCGTTCTATCGGGGGCTTGCGGGGGGGCACGCGATTTGATTGCTTTTGTCAGCCAATAGTGGAGAACGCTTAGATTGCTCTGATAGCGCTCTGATAGCGCTTTAACAGTGCTTAGGCGCCTTAGGTAGTTTTAATTAAAATATTATACCGGTACCATGCTTACTTACCTGCCGCCTAAACCCACCTGGCGCCCGCATTTCCCCATACGTAGGTCCTGTTATTTCTTAGGCGCAAGCTTTAATGCCGGGAGTAATACGCGTGGCTAGAACAAAGTTTATCCTGCTTAAAATATTAAAAATACTACTATTAATAGCCTGTTTAATATTTAATACTTTTATTAATAAATTATTTTAAATAGTAACATTTTTTTTAATAACTATAATAATAGTAAATTTAATAAAGGTATTTAAAAAATAATAAAAAAATAAATTATATAAGTAATATATAACCTGCTTATATAAACCTATAATTTATAAACCCTTAATTTTTTAAATTTTTTTATTATAATAATTAATACTAAAAATAATAATAATATTATTTTTTTTTTACTTGCCCTTTTACTTACTTACTTTTATATTAATTTAGCTACTAGTAACCTATATTACTAATATAATAAATTATTTAAGCTATAAATTAATAGTTTTAAAAAATTTTTATAAATAATTATATTATTTATAGTATAAGCTTATACTTTATAAGCTTATTAATAAAGTTAATATAATAAAAAAGATTATAGCCCGCCTTATTAATAAAAAAGCTATTATTAAGTAGTATATTAGCATGCTTATTAAGGGTAATATAATTTATAAGTATTATACCTAAGGCTATAAATTATTTATAAAGTATATTATTATATTAGGCCACTTTAATAATAATTATATAAATTATTATTAAAATAGCTTGGGTGCGTGGTATATTAATAAATATAAGTTATAACCTTTATTTATTTATAAATATATTAACTAATATATTTAGCTCCTGTGCCGGGCGATAATAATAATAATAATAATAAAATAAAAAAAAAGAAGAAAGAAAAGGCTAAAAAAAATAATAAAAAAGGTTAAAAAAGTTATATAAAAAAAAGTAAATATTATTATTTTACTTATGCATGCTATTTAATCCGCCTGCTGCCTATATTACCTTATAATTATAGTAATAATAAACTTTAATATTATTATAGCCGGGCTGGTTGCCCTGTTTTATATTATAATTTTTATAATAAATAATTTTATTAATAAAGCTAGTTTTAAGGGTGTTAAATATAATAATAATAATAAGTAAGTAATTTTTTTTAATTTATTTTCCCTGGGGCTAGACCCTAGTAATAAAAAAGTTTAAATTTATTATAACTTATTAAATATAGTTAACTATAAATATTATTAAAAATAGCTTATATAAACTATAGGCAAAGATTTAGTATTTAAAGGTAAGTATTTAGTAAAATATTAATATTATTTTAATTTATTAATACCTTTTATTTAACTTTAAAATAATAAAATTACTTACTTAATAATTTTAAAAGCCTTACTTAAAGCATATTATTATAATTTATAGCTTGTTAATTAAATACTATAATCTTATTTTATTATTATTTAAGCTATATTTTATTTTTAATAAATAAAAAATAATTATTACCTTATTTATTTCTATAATACCTAAAACTTAACTTTATAATATTAAGCTATATACTAATATAACTACCTCTTAAAATTAAACCTAATTATATTATTTTTTTAGTATATTATTATAAAAAATAATTTATAATTATATTATTTATTATATTTTTATACTTTATTATAAAACTATTACCTAGCGTGTTAGCCATATAGTATATTATAAATTATATTAAGATTATAAATAATTATTACTAGCAAGTACTAGCTAAAATACTACTAGTATAAAAATTAAAATTATAGGTTAAGTAACTAAAAACCACCTTTATATTACCTAGTAATTTAAAGGTAATTATAATATAAATTATTAAAAAGCACCCCTTTACGCCCTATATTTAGTATATAAAAAAAATAAATTATTTATAGGTTATATTATTATTAACAGGTTACTATTTAGCACTTGCGCTAATTATTATTATATTTTAAAAAATAAATATTATAATTATTATAATAAGTACCTTAATTAATAGTTTATAAAGCTAGTAATTAATTATAATAATTTAAAAATTAATATTAAAAACACTGCTACCGCCGCCTGTGCTATAAAAAAATATATAAAAAAAATAATAGCCGCGCTATAAAGCAGTTATAATATTATTTAATAAATAGCTAAGTATTTACTTAAATATTAACCTTAGCTTAATTATAAACCTGTGGCCGCGCTAAGTAGCTTTATAACTTATTTAATATAATAATTACTTAAAAAAACATGTTTATTACTACTTAAAAGGTATTTACTAAAACATGCCTTAGTATTATAGTTAAGTTTATAAAAAAAATAGGTTTATTAATAAAAAAAAAGGTAGGGATAAGTTTCCTGGTTTATTAAATAATTTTAATAAAAAATTATTAAAAAATAATTAGTGTTTACAGGGCCGGACCCTAGTTAATAAAGTTAATTTAAATTATTATTTTATTTTTAAATTTATAACTATATTATTATTACTTTTATAATAAAAAATATTATTTATAATTATAATAAATATATATTAGCAGCACCTTAAATAACTATTTTTATACCTTTATTTTTTAGTGTTAAACAGGCTGTTAACTAATTAATTATAATTAAAAGATTTTTTAAATAATAATTTTTTAAGTAACTATACACGTAATATAGCCATGTATATAAAACCTAGTAAAAACTTTTTATATATAATAAGGTTTAAAATAGCTTGCTTAATAATAACCCCCTAAGCCTTATAAATTATTATTATATATATTAATATAGCTAGGAATTATGTATAGGTATAAATAGTATTATAATAATAAAAGTTTTACTTTATATAAAAAATTAGCATTATATTATAGTTATTATTTTTTTAGTATATAAACTATTATATTAATTAAAAGCTATTATTAAAGTAAGTAGTGTCTTTTAGGTAGGATTTATTATTTTTAATAATTATATAATATTTACTAACATGCCCATAGCGCTATTTATAAGACCTTTTTTTATTTAAATATTTTATATTAATATAATATAGTAGCTAAAAAAAACTATAAGCTTTTTAATTAAGTTTTTAGCCTAGTTTATTTTTATAGTTATAATATTAAATTTAATATAATTAGCCTGTAAAATAATTATAGGTTTACTAAAGTTTAATATATAGTTATAGTTATACTAGTATATATTATTTTTTTTTATATATATAAATTATATTTATAAAAATATTACTTTTACTTATAAATAACTTAGCCTGCACTTATATTGCAAGAAGCTCCTAGTTTTTTATTATAGTAATATTTTTTAAGTACTTTAGTATAAAAATAAATATATAAGTTATTTAAAAGCTTGCGGTTTAGTAATAAATAATATTTAGCTTAATAATAATATTAAATTAATTATATAAATATTAACCGGCCTTTTTTTTTTATTTATAAGTAAAAACATGGCCTTAAAAAAAGGGCTTTAGCTAATTAAGGGTAGCTAGTAAAAGTCCCTGGCTAGGATAATATTTAAGTTATTAAAGGGTTTAGCTTTATAATTTAAAAAAATTTTATAATATTATTAATTAATATAGTATAGCTATTTTAAACCTATTATAAACTTTTTATTAATAATTAAATATAACATGCCGCGGAAACTTGCCTGCAAGGCTAATAATATTAAAGGTTATAAATAATTATAACCCCCCTTGCCTTTTAATATAACTAATAATTAAAATAATAAGTATAAAATTTAACTATTAATATTATATATGGTAATACTAGTTAAAGCAGCCTGTATAATAATAAAGGTTTTATAATTACTAGTATAAAAAGCTATATATTTTAGGGTTATAAATAATAAGTTAATAATATAAAATTTACTAGTGCTAGCCTTGCTATTTAAATTAATTAATAATTACCTTAATAAAAATAATAAATATATAAAAATAAACTATTATTTATTATTTATATAAAAAACTAGTAAACCACATGATTATAAAATACTTTTATAATATTTAATTATAATATTATATAACTAGTATTACTTTACCTTTAGGTTATTTAAATAAGCTAATAAATAAGTTAATATATTTACTAGGTAATCTACCTTTACTGTCAGGGCCAACATTTTTTTATTTAACATTACCGGAGCCAATCCACTGTTAGTCTAGAGTTAGCGCCTGAGCTTTGGCCTTAGGCCGCCAAGGCTTAGTATACCTTATTATTATATTAGGCTATATAACTTAACTAGGTTATTAATATTTAGGGTTTTAATTACTAATTAGGCAAGGCTAGGATAGGCCTTAAATATAGGCTAAAGTAAAAACCCGTGCGTAAAATATTTAAACTTATATTTATTTTTTAATTAAAAATAGCTTAAGCATAGCTTAAAGGTTTATAAAAATAGCTTTAAAGCTAGCCTTTTTTTTAGATTTTTAAGTAACTTTTTTAATATTATTTAGCGGGGTTTAAAATACTCCATTTTTATTAATTAAATTTTTTTGTTAATATTTTTATTATTAGTAAAGATTTTTAAAACTTATTAGTTTTATAGTTAGAGTTACTTTTACCTACTATTTTTTAAACTTTTTTAATAATAGTATCTTAAACTAAATTTTTAAAGGGTAAGCAAAGGTAGTTTACAGGTGTTTTAATTAAGGTTTTTAAAACCTAAACTTAAATAGCCAGAGAAATATCCCCTTTTTTATTTATATTTAAAAATTTTATTATTATTAAAAATAGTTAAAAAAAAAAAACCTAACTTAAATAATTTAGTTTATTAGCTTAATAAAGCGCAGGGTAAAATGCACCTTTTACCTTATTATTTTATATTATTATTAAAGCTTATTAATTTAAAATTTATTATAACTAGAGCTATTTTAAAAAGGGAGTGGCCTAAAATTATAACTTTTAGCTTATTTATTTTTTAACCTTAAT